GACGGTGGGCGGGTTATGCCCGCCCCCCCCCAGCCCCTGACCTCGCAGGACGGGTATCGGCGGTCGTGTCCTTATGCGTGCCCCATTGCTGCCTTTATATCGCATGCCCTTGCAAGGGACCAGGTACAGATGGCTGAGCTGCCATCTCCCGAAGTAAAGGTTTTTATTTTGTTTTGTTTGCTTTCAGAGAAAGCGATGAAATATTGACGTTAATGGCATTTCCAGTACTGAAAATCCAATTACATTTTTTTTCTTCCCTTATGATGTGTTTCTACCATATGGGGCTTTTTCTTCCTTGTTTAAGTATGGAAACTTCTTTATATAAAAATGTCCATTATGGTTCATCAGTGTATTGGTGGGAGAGATTGATGCTGAAAGAAAAAGCTAGTAATTTGTGAAGTAGGGAGTGAGCCCAGGCAGTAAAAGACCCTTTCTAGAATTTTAAGCAGAATCACAACTTAAATAATGTTTGTGGGTGCAAAGGTCAGGGAAACTGCACGGTTAAGTAATTTACTGTTGATGTAATTTTGCAAGTATTATTTTTACAATACTACTGTACTTACCAGTGACATGTATTTGCTAGTGAAACTGAAAGAAATTAAGAGAAAAAAAACCCTCTCTTTTCCTCCCTATTTCTGTTTTTGGTGGCATTGAGCGTCTGCTTGGCTTTGTTCCCAGCGCTGCCAGGAAGCACGCCTCGGTGGGGAGGGCGCACGAGGTGTGGGTTCGGGAGACCTGCGTTCCCTTGTGCAGTTCTGCAAGTGATGTGCTGGGTTATTTTGGCCTCCTCTCCAAACTGTTCTTTGTCTTCTCTCTCTGCTCAATAAGCGATTTCAGGAAAAGGACTTTCTTCTTGTTGTTTAAATTTTTTTACGGCAGAAAAAAGACCTAAATATCTGCTGGGAAAGCCAGCTACTGCTCTGACACGAGTAACAGGTAATCTTGTGCAGTTAATCAATTTTCTCTTTTGTGTTGGTTTTTACACAGAGCCATGAGGCAAGAGAGAAGTTTTTAAAAACAGAAAAATGTGATTGCAAAAACACCATTGTTGGCAGGAGGACTCGGTGGACTCAGGTAATAATGTGACACTGCTTTTTATTATGTTTTAAAAACTGGCTAGATTTCAAGCTGACAGTGGCCCTTTGTCAGGGCCAGAGCAGTAGGGGAAGGTGACAAGGTATAACAAGACCCAGTGGCTGGCTGTTAAATTAATTCCAACCAGGCACGAGGGTGTAAGCGTTCTCGCGGCAAGGGTAATTATTGAATAGGACAACGTTGTTAGGGCTGTGGTAGCTTCCTTCATCGTTTCAGACTGTTAAAACCAAGATTTTTGCTTTGTTTTCCACCCTGAGAAAGATCTTTAGCGCAACCTCTCCCTACAGTACTGAAGTAGAAGCTCCAGGTTTGTTTAATGGCAGAAGGTCAAATGAGACCGTTAGCTGTCCCGTAGACGGTAAAACTCTGTCAATATATGAATATTTCTCTTGATTTACCTATTTCAAAAAATTATTCTGGATGAGAGCAGATTATTGTCTACTGAAAGGCCTGGACCTAGATCGTTACTGTTTTAGCGTACTACCACTGGCTGGTGTGTATGTGTGTGTGTTTGTGAATGAAGGCAATGTCTTGTTGGATAATTGTAGGACGCCTAAACGTATGATGCTTAAATATGCTGCTAGTATGTTTGCAGCAACCTCATCTGAACGTACTGTTCTTTAACACATTTAGATCCTCTTTCTGAAGAAATGTAAGTTGTTAGCTAAAGTACATCTCTCGTGTTTTTAATAATTTTAAATCTTATAAAATGAGATTTATTTCCCTAATTGAGGGGGAGTGGAAGACCGAGGGAGGGTTTGTAGTGTTAATCACAATGGACTTTATAATTAAGGCCAGATTGTACCCTCAAACTTCTTAGGCAATCCCAGTGAAGTCATCAGGCTTTTCACAAGCATAAGGGTTTTCCCCGTGTGCATTTGATTCCAGGATAAGGGCCTACAGTGGCTTTTTCATGCTCTGATTTCTCACACATACGAGGAGATTTGAAAAACACGCATGTTTTCCAATGCAGGCTTTTGGTTCTCAGCGCAAATGGGAGAAATTCTGTACTGTTTATCAAGAAGCAGATATGCAGAGCAAGTCAGCTTCGATCGAGCTGTTTTGAACTGGTGATTCCTATGCATTTCCTTTGTTACATGCATTGGGGAAAAATGTAACTGTGGCTTTGTGTTTCTATATTCATGACAAAGAAGAACTTCAAATAGCATGTGGATGGGTGTGGATCTGAGATTTCCTAGAACCGGTTCCTTTTTAATATTAAATTGCATACTCCAAGAAGATAGTTGCTGTATCAACATTAGTATAATAACACATTATTAAAAATTCAATATCTAGTCATAGAAATGAGTCCTAGCGTAAGCAGTTGCATGCTTACAACTGTGATGTGTAAGTATTTGCAAATGTAATGGACTTTTTTTTTCTTGTAGCATGGGTAACTTGGATAAACACTGTGCGTATGACTCATTGCAGAATATAAACTTATTTTAAAGGAGCAAGTGTGGGATTTGCTGAATATCCTATTGCTTTGCATCCCTGAATACTTGCATTAGGTCATGATTAGTCTTAAATTGGCCAACCAGGGAGGAAAATTACTGCTGATCTCCCATAGGTGACTTCAGAAATGAAAAGCCGCATGAAAGTGCTTTAAAAATATAAATAGTAGTTTGAATTCCTAAAATCATAAAGCAAACATATGGTACAAGGTCTTCTCAACTATAACACTTAAAAGCTTTTTTGTAGTCTCAGGAAAAAGCTTGTTTGGCCATCATAAGAAAAGTAAATATTTTCATCCCTTTTTCTTCAGATCTTTGTCATTCCGTTCCTTCTTTCATTTTTTTTATTTTTTTCCCCTCGCAAAATCATCTTAATTTGGGGAGGGATGGGAGACCAAAACCAGATGTGCCTAGACAGCACTATTAGGGGGCAGGAGATAGGTTGCCAATCGTGGTTCCTGTTGTTAAATTCATTATGGAAGTCCTTCTGCAGTGGCGGGATGGAGTTGATGTAATCCAAATTGAATGCGCTGTGTGTGTGTGTGTGTGTGTGCGCGCGCGCGAGCTCATTTCCCGAGAAGGAGATGCGATGGGCACCGCAGCAACCCCTGGATCTCTCAAGAACGCGCCTATCCTTAATGCGATACATCAAGCGTCGGCGCTGGTGGCGCCCGCCACCCTGCGAGAAAGAAGGGAGCCGGAGGAGTGGGGGCGAGCCGGGAGGGAGAGGGGGAGACGGAGAGAAACATGCGGCTCCAGAGGGAAATACGCTGCGCTTTACAGTTGCTTGTGTGGATAGAAACCAGATGGTAAGCTGGAACACCCGCTCGGAGAGCCGAGGAGCCAAACATATGGTTAATGGTTAGGAGAAATAGCTTTCAGAGCCAGGGCTTTGCTGACTGCTTCACATTACAGATTGTTACAGTGTGTCATTACATTGCCAAACTAAGTGCTTAATACCCACCGCGGGTGCTGGGCAGACATTTACAGAAAGGAGGTTGAGCGCTTTGCTGGCACAGCCCGCCAGGTTGACATCATGCGGGGCTCCACTGCCTGGCCCCACCGCCCCCCGGTTGCAGTGGAAACGCTGCCGCTCTCGCGTTTTACAAGCTGAAAACCTACAGCAGGCAGCTCTCCTGTTCTGCCTGTGTGCGTCTCTGCCTTTAATCCGTTTATTTCCAGCAGTGTGCATGTGTGTGTGTGTGTGTGTGTGTGTGTGTGGTTTTTTTCTTTTTTTTAAAAAAAAAAAAAAACAGCCAAGTTCACCTCGACTGCAGCATTGCACTTACATGCCCAGCATTTGAAGTTCCAGCTTTGGGAGCTTTGGGCACCACCGGGCCCATGTTATCTAAGGAACTGCTGAGCTCATTCATCTCCTTTTCACGGCCCGCTTCCTTTTATTTTTAGCCAAATCCGTCAGGCCTGACAGGCGGGTAATTTGAGCCAGAGAAAGGGCAAAGCTCCAGGTCCTTTCCACAAAGCAATTCTTCTCCTCCCTCCTGGGAAGGCTCCAAACTTGGCTTGCTCCAGGCAGATGGATTTGTTGAGTCATGTGAGATCATTTACACAAAAACAAAGTGAGACAGTGAAGAAAAAAAAAAAAAAAGGAGAGAGAGAGAGAGAGAGAGAGAAAGAAAGAAAAAGCGAGAGGGAGGGAGGGGGGGGAGGGAAGGGGGGGGAGAGTGTGCGCCGTTGTTGATTCTGCTGCGAGTGTCGGAAATCTGCTGCGAGGCAGCTAGACAGAGGAATGCAGCAGATTCATTCTTGTATAAGGTAATGTCTAGTTTACAGTACAGGGTGGAGCCAGCGTAGAGAAATCACTCGAAAACAGATTACTCATTTAAAACCCAAATTTCTCCAGAAAATAAAAAAAAAAAAAGAAAGAAAGAAAAAAACAAACAAACAAACACGCGCACCCCGCACCCAGCGGCGCGCAGGCAACAAAGGACACGTTGTTGACAGCCTGGGATTACGGTAGCGGTAAACAGTTACTAACTGGAAGGTTTCTAGAAAACTGAGTTTGCAGTATGAGGCAAGAGGGAGTTTGCTTTGTCTTGACGCCAGCGTGCCCGGGGCGGCGGGGAGCTCAGGGTTCGGCCTCGCCGGAGGTTGCGGAGCTGGTTCTTATTTGGGTTTTGAACTGGTTGTGGCACGATCTTCGATACCTCAGAAAGTGAACCGCGTTTATTTGGTTGAACTGAGTGTTGATTTTGTTACCGTTTGCAACCTACACTCACCCCAGCATGTGTGTTTTTTTCTTTCTTTTTTTTTTTTTTTAAGTGGGCGGCAAGAAAGAACATCAAATTTACGGTTTTTTAGATCTCGATGCATGCTAGAGAATTATGTTGGGTTAATTTATGCAGTTTTCTAGTGATATGCATTTGAAGCTGTAAATAGACATGGACTATATTTAAGTATTTTTCATATAACTTCCTGCTACTCTAGATTTCTTTAACAATGCAATATCTAAATATTAGCGTTTTGTCCTGATGATGATTGGAATTAGAGTAGGGACAGAAACTGGAACAGGAAATTGTTTGAACATGTGCACTAAAGCAAGGTCAGTGCAAAACGTTTTCTTAAATCCTTAGCTGTAGTTAAGAAAGTCGTGGGAGTGTGTGTATGTGGGTTGGTATTTTAACTTGACCCTTTCTCCCGCAGAACAGCGTCTTCTGCAGACCACATAGCAGTATCTGTTAAGGTGCTTTCCTTTTGGGAGGGGAGTGTTTGTCTGGAGCCTCCCTCGGTCTGGTTGACCTTGTCATCCCCTTTTCTCTTCCCCGCTTCTTTTTTTGTGCTTTTGTCTACAAGGCCGCTGGATTTCATGGCCTGCTTAATATGGCACGTTGTCCTAATGAGAACATTTGGCATGGTGAATGTCTTCTCAGCTGAGCTGGGCTTTCACTGCTTGTACTTTAGAGTTTTCTCACTTGGTGGAAGCCTTTTGTCTTCTGTCTCTTTATCGGCCTCCCTCGTTAATTATATTGAAGTAGCACTTGACAGCATCCTGGGTCCTGGCTGGGGTCCTGCAGGAGCCACCGCACAATGCACAACCGTGTGACAGGGTCGTTGCCCCTTGGAGTTTACAGCTGATGTCTGGGATGAGATGCAGCAGGGGACAGGCACGTAAGGAAGAGACGTACAGTCAGATCTGAGACTTAGACTGTGCAATAAGCCGTGGCCATAGCATGGTAGCTTTTAATGAGGAATGTCTGTGGGTTGCCCAGAGATCCTCTGAAAGGTCCCAGAGAAGGATGGCATTGTTATGTATTGTATTTGCAGGATTACTGGGACTTTCATTTCCCCCTTCCCAAAATACCTAATTATCCTACATTTTCTGCATCTGTGAACAACATTTCCTGTGGTTACCCAGAGCTGCAATTCCAGTGAAATTCTCACTTTATAAAGCTAATCTTCCATCAGTGGCTGTGGGTTTTCCAAAAGAACAGAAGGCTGTGAGGAGCAAAAGTTTTTTTCTTAAGATTTTTGCCTTAGTGGGCAAGCTCTGCATAATTCCTGCATTAA